CTTGTAGCACACGAAGAGTCCTGACCCTCTTCAGACCTGGGAAGTCAGGATTCCTACAGCGGTGGGCAAGGAACAGCATTTCCACCAACTCTATTAGGCAAAATGGTGGGGGAACATATGTATTTCTGGCTTGCCTTTGGTCAAGTCAATAAAGGCTAAGTCCAGGCCTCCATATCACTAACAATTCCCTCTTCTTTAATATGCAATAATCTCTATGTTCAAGAAAAGATTGGCTGTTGAGGCCAGCCTGGTCTACAGAGTAAGTTCCAGGAAAGGCGCAAAGGTACAGAGGGAAACCCTGTCTCGAAAAAACCAAAAAAGAAAAAAAAAGAAAGGATTGGCTGATGTGACCAATTGCAGTGAGCAATAGGATGCGGAGCAATAAGATGTCCAGTGTCTGGCCCTGGGGTAATAACTGGCCTGAGCGTGACAGCCTGTAACCTCCAGGCAGTACTTACTGTCTCTAGGAATTAGCTGACTGGGAGGGCAGTCTCTCCAGTCCAAAAGACTGCAAGACTTCAAAACAGAAGGCCTGGATCGATGGATGATAAAGAAAAGGGTACACAAACCACGGAGACTTACACAAGGACATACTGGGTAGGCATCTAGATTATAAGCGGGCCACCCATGCTCGGGCCCTCCCGAGTGCGTCTTCTGCCTACCTGCTGTCGGTCTCGGTGCTCAGCTTTTTTAAGAAAGCTACGGTTTCTTCTCCTTTGGCGTTGAAGGACACTGTGCAGACTGGATATGGGATTTCCAAAACCCTCTGGAGAAGCAGCTCCTGGGACTCCTCTGGAACATCCCCCACCACAAAGTAGTAAATGGCTTCGATCTGCAAGACAGAGGCACCAATGACGACGGCTTATGGGCCTGCTGTACACCCCAGCCTCGCACTAGGCTCATCAGCAACACATTTTCGAATTGCTGCCAGAGAGAAAGGACAGAAAGAACAGAAGTTATGCTTGGTGTCCTGCGATGACGTTGAGAGGCAAGGCCAGCAAGTGAATCACTCAAGATCTTTTCACAGTGGCGGCGGCGGTCCTTGGGGGCTACACAAAGAAGACATAGTTGGCAGATATGAGAAGAACTGCTGCCTCAGGCCCGCAGGTACACAGACAGGAGAGGAAAGGTAGTTTTCAAGAAAAAAAAAAAAAAAAAAAAGAGAAAGTTTTGGCCCAGCCAGCCCCTGAGAACAGGGAGCATATTATTATCCACTTCCTCGGGTGGTGCCAGAACTCTACAGCACAAACTCATCCCTTGTCAATCTGGGGCAGGATGCAGAAGAGAGGGTGTTTTCCCAGCTGGCTCATCTTCTGCTCTCGCCACACTAGGGAAACACATGCCTGGGGAGATGAGGCTGTCCTGACTCCATGCAGCTGGTCAGGAGAAGGGTGTGCCCACACGGCTCTGCTCCACACAGCTGTGCCAGAGCAGAATGCTGAATGGACAATCATGTCAGAAGCAATACACACACAGCATACCCACACACCACATACCACACTCACACATACCCCCCACACCACACCACACTTTATACACACACACACACACACACACACTGCATACCCTGCACACACACACACACACCACATACCACAACACACACATACACATAATTAACACACATACCACATATCACACATCACACTCGCATACACCAAACACAACATGCGCACTACATACTACCCCCGATACACCATACCCCCCACACCATACTACATACTACATACACACACACATACTCCATGCCCCCATACACACACACCACACCGCACATACACACCATACTCCATAGACACATACCATACCACACATTATACACACACATAAACCATACTACACATACACCACACACACTACAACCACCTACACTGTACATACTACACACACACATACACCATTACCACCACACAGGCACACAACACATATACTAGACATCACACTCAAACATAACACACACATACATACACCACACTACACATACACCTTTTATGTTGATGTAACTAATTATACAAAATCCTGGATACCTCTACCCTCTCTTGTCTCCCTCTTGTTCCTTGTCCCTTTCCTGTTGCAGATTAGATGTGAAATGTTCCCCATTGACTCATTTGTTTCAACAACTCCACCCGCAGCTGGTGATACAGTTCTGAAAAGTTCTATAACCCTTAAGAAGTGGAGCCTTGCTGAGGGAAGTGGGTCCCTGGAAGCGGGCTTTGGGGTGTCATAGTCCGGTTCTGCTTCCTGTCTGCTCTGTGTCCTGACTGCCATGAAGCACGTCACACTCCTGCCACCATCCCTTACCCACAGTGATGGACAATGTCCCTTCCTAAACTGAGAGCCAATGAGCCCTCCTGCCACCATCCCTTCCCCACAGTGATGGACAATGTCCCTTCCTAAACTGAGAGCCAATGAGCCCTTCTTTTGTTGAGCATTCTGTCCCAGCAATGAGAAAAGTAACAGATACGCCTCTTCCACGTCCACCCGCTCCAGTGTGAGCTTCTATGAGAGAAAGCATGCGAGGCTTGTCTTAATGAAATGACTTACTTCCTTGACTACAATGACATGTTCATCCTAAATCCAGGGATTCCGGAAGATGCACACATCACCCAAAATAAGTGTTCTCAGCATAATCCAGGGATCTATAAAGCCCAACAAAGGGGCCTATGAGACATGTCCTCAATGCCATCACTCTTGCTCTCCTCCTGACATGATGTATGAACTCAGGCAAGTGATCTATCTTTAGGTCAAAATGAGACAGTGCAACTTACCCTTCATGGCTTGGTTTTCTTTTCTTTTCTTTTCTTTTTCTTTTTCTTTTTTCTTTTTTTTTTCTTTTTTTTGGGGGGGGGTTGGGACAGGGTTTCTCTGTGTAGCTTTTGTGCCTTTCCTGGAACTCGCTTTGTAGACCAGGCTGGCCTCGAACTCACAGAGATCCACCTGCCTCTGCCTCCCGAGTGCTGGGATTAAAGGCATGCACCACCACCACCCAGCCATGGCTTAGTTTTCTACGCTTTGGGAATCTACTCTATTGTTCATATGTGTATTTTACAGAAACCTGCGAAAGTACAAATCAAAGCAAGTCAGGACTAGACACCATCTGAGCCTGTCCCTCAGAATCACTGTACTTGATCACTTCCACAGAGAACTGGGCAGAGGCCTCCGCAAGGGCACTGCATGGGTGAGAAACAGGCTTCTTGGGGCCCATGACTTATTTATGCTTTAATCTCAACCCCTTAGAGCTGAGCTGAAGCTAGTCAATCAATGTTTCCCCCTCAGCTTTAAACCTGGTAGAGAGGGGATGGACTCATGGCTGGCTGCCCAGCTGGTTAGGAGCCTATGTCTACAGCAGAGAGAGCATACTTGGTGTCCAAGGGGGCCAGAAGGACAGGGGACCAAGGACCCAGGCTGCGAGTTAGATGGCCAGAGTGAGAAGCCAGACCAGAGGATGTCAGCCACTACCTCCTCCAGCAGGCACAGGAAAGCCCCGCCCCCTCCCACACCTCTTCCTCTCCAGTCTGTCAACACCAGCTCCCAGATTTTTAAAGGAAGTAACTGCTAGGAAGTAAAGCCTGGTGGATGCCGTAAATCTCCTCCCACCAGCCACCCAGCAGGCAGGAAAAGAAAAATCCAAGAAACAGCATTCCATGGAGCTTTACGTTGACTGGATTGTTTCTTCCAGCAAATGCATCCCAGGCCGTTCCTGTTCCTGGTGTGACCCAGCCCTTGTGCCAGGTGGACAAACGGGGTGCTGTTGCTCACAAGCCTTTTCCAGTTGCCTCTGTGCTCAAATTTAATGTAGAAATATCACGTGTATATATGTATGTATACACACACACACACACACACACACACAAAATATAATGAAATGACACATGGCCCAAGACAGGGAACATACAGAATACCTTGTAGGGTCTGTGAGAGCAAAAGGAGATAAAGACCTAGAGATGAGGAGTGCTGTGCCTGTGGACTCTGGCAGGATGCGTCGCTGCTGCTGGCAATGGCCCAAGCATCAGAAACTCTTGTGCAGAGATGCTTTTCCCCTGAGATGTCATTGAACTGAAAACTGCCTTTGCCGCACTGAGGTGTTCAGCCTCTTTGGAGTGAGCTAAATGCTTCTGCCATTTATTCCACATAAAATAGAATGGTAAAGTCGGGGGGGGGGTCCGGCCCATAATGTGGCTTGCGGCTCAAGTACGAGGACCTGAATTCGATCTCCAGCACTCTTGTAAGATTCGGGCTCCGGGAGTGGTGAGTGCCTATAACCACAGCGCTTGGGGTACAAAACTGGGGGACCCATGGGGCTCACTGGGCAGATAGTCCAGGCAATCATGGAGCTCCAAGTCCAATCAGAGACCTTGTCTCAAAAAACAAGGTGGAGAGCAGTTGAGGAAGATATCTGACATCTGAAGACCTCGGGCCTTCAGAGAAATGCACATAGATGTGCACACACACACACACACACACACACACACACATACACACATACACACATACACACACACACACATACACATACACACATACACACACACATACACACAGACACACACACACACATACACATACACACATACACACAGACACACACAGACACACACACACAGACACACATACACACACACACACAGACACACACACACAGACACACATACACACACACACATACACACACATACACACAGACACACACACATACACACAATTAGGATAGCACCTTTATGTCCTATTTCAGTCTGGACCACTGCATGGCAACCTGCATTCTGCCCAAAGAGACCTTGGCATCTTCCTAGCATCCACTTTGGAAGGAAGAAAAGGAAGAAACAGACAGGGAACAGATGCTGCTTCTACTCCAGCTATCTTCTCTACCACCTGTCCAAGCTGGCGGTCATCCCAAAGCCTCGGGCATAAAATCTTCCCGCCTCAAGAAGCAAAATGGAGAGCAGTCCCAAGCATAGCAAAGAGGCTGACGAAGACTGCCTCTCTCTTCATACAGCGTAACACTGTAGCATTTTAAACCAACTCCATGCCTGGGGCTCGAACTCCTGGTCCTCCCCATCTCTCTAACAGTCCTTTCCTTCTTTGGACCACTTTGATTTTCTGATTCCCTTATGGTGATGACTCTTCCTTATGGTCAGTATTGGGATCAGTTCTAGGTGGCTTCTCGGATCGCTCCTAACACCCTGGACCATCACTGACTATCTGCGCTTCCAGGCTTTAAGGATTGTGTTCCACCCATTGTCTCCACTAGAGTCCTATAAGGCTCAGCAAAATCACCTGCCTGGCCCAGCACCATCCGCATCTCTTCAATTGAAAACAAACAAACAAAACTCAATTCTATGGGACGTGTTCAGGACCAGAACCCCTTGGGCCTACACCTAGCTCCCAAACTCAACCATATAGACAGTATTTCCTTTTTATTCCTTCACTGTCCAATAAACATTTCAAGCGCCCTGATTAGGCATCAGGGACACAATGGAAAATTTTCACACCTGTCCAAACTGCTTCAAGGAAACAAGTGAGATGTCAGTTTTACAGACTGACAGTCTGGTAATCAGCAGGGCAGGCACCTCAGGGGACTGGAGAGTCTGTCTTTTAATTCACTCACTTATCCTCCTGTGAATATGACTTAAAAACCCTCAAATCTCAATGTGTGCCTTCCAGTCACATGAAAGAAAGGCTGATAGAAACAAAAACAGAAGCCGGGCATCCTGCAGGGCAGATGGCCTTCTGAAAGCATGAACGAAACCTCCTCAGACAGCTTTCAAAGGCAACCAAGGACCAGGACTCGGCTGAACAGCCCTTTCTTTCCCAAAGACCCTTCGTGCTCTGTGTCTGCAGGTTTCCAGGGCCTGCTGGTACTGTGCTGCAAACCCTGTGCTGGCCAGCACGGCTGGGCTCGGAGGACCCCAGTCCTCATCTGCCAGGCATTTCCTCAACAGTTCACAGGACGCACACACACCACCCCGCCATGAACCAGGTCCTTTTGCACGAGACACAGGTGATGACTCAGACTTCAACTGTGCCCTGCGATTGCCAGTACCGAAGACATGGTTCAAACTGACCGCTCACACTCTACCTGGGCCCCTCTTAGACCCCAAGGCCCATTCTCAGGGCTCCCTTCTTGTCCATTCTTCTAGGTTACCAAGCCCAGTACTGAATGAGACCAGTGGTCTCCTCCACAGATGGGCATCACATAATATAGGCTTCCGTGTTAATTTTTTTTTTGGATAGTAATGTCTATGAGTTCCAGGGCCCATGGATGGAGGAAGACGACACAAAGCAGGTTGTCATCAGTAGGAAAAGCCTAGTTGGGGATAGTCAACTATATTTAAGTCCTTTCTATTTCTAGAAGACCACAAGGATGAACTGAAACTCTAGAGGGTGGTCACGAGGGGGCATGGAGCAGAGGAGTGGGCCCTTAGGGGAACCAATCCACCCCCATCACACACATGCATACTGTTTCTCACTCCCACAAGACAGAGCATGGCAAGTTTCTAATACACAAGACAGCCGTGTTTACTAGAAGTTTCCTTGAGATCACCCACAGGTAGAGGCTATTGGTGAAGGACTTCTGTGGTTTGTATATGCTTTGGACTTGCTCTAGGCCACAGGTTGAATGTGGTGGTCAGGACCTGCAGGCGCCTTTCTTGGTTCTTTTTCTATAGGACGCCCCTGGCACTCACTGGGTTGCTCATATTTTCTAAAGTAGGGATGAACCCAGGGGAGAAAACAGAGGAAAGCAAGGTCATCTGGAGATTGGAGTCATATCAGACAGCCAGAGTCAGTGGTGATCGATACAGTCAATTCCACAAAGACAGGGCATGCAAGCGGCGCGCGCGCGCACACACACACACACACACACACACACACACACACACACACACACACACACAAACACAAAGCCTGGGAAACATTCCATTTTGAATGCTTATTAAGATCCAGACACTTGGAATTTTGCAGATGTCGAAACAGACTCGAAGGGCCAAAGAACAAAGCGATTTGTATTTGGTTCTTCTTTAATGGAAAAAACATGTGTTCAGCTGGCTTTGTGAGGGGGGCAAAAATGTGTTCCCAATTTCAAACCATCGCCTTAGTATTGATAAACATGGGCTGGTGGCCAATGGAGGTGTGCCAGTATTTGTTTGTTTGTTTGTTTGTTTAGTAAAGAAAGACTCCTGAATGCAGCTACATCAAGATTAAAACCTACAGAGACTCCGGTCTTCCAGAACAGAGGAAGCAAGTATTTAACATCTATATATCAAAGGCAAGTAGACCTCCACCTCCCACTCTGGAGGAGTTGAAGCTGGCCAAGGAATCCCTCCCACCCGGAGAAATTCCCTTGGCCTTGTTTCACTCTCTTAAAGGATCCCATCACCAGAGTCACTCAAAGAAGCATGCCTTGTGGCTAAAGGAGACACGAGGCATTGCTCCTCTCTCTCATCTGTCTCGGGAGACGTTTGATTATCAAAGGTCCCAATCAAAAACCACATATCAGTACATCAGAATGGATGACAGGTGCTGTCTTGGTTTCATCTCTGTCGCTGTGATAAAAAAAAAATCTCGACTTCGATGAGAAAGCCATCTATTTGAGCTCACAGTTCCTGGTTACAGTCCATCACCGCGAGGAAGTCACGGCAATAGAGCTTGAAGTAGCTGGTCACATGACATCCACAGTGAGAGCAGAGACAAATGGACATACGCACGTTCGCTTACTTGTGCTCAGCTCCATCTCTCCACTCTCACATAGCTCAGGGGCCGCCCTGCCTAGGCAACGGGGCTGCCCGTAGTGGGCTGGCTCTTCCCACTTCAACTAAGACAGCCCCACACGGACGTGCCCACAAGCCCAACCCAGTGGAGACGATGCCTCCTCACTGAGACTCTCTTCTCAGGTGGTTCTGTGCTGTGTCAAGTTGACAATTACAGCTGACCGTCACAAGAGGCTCATCAGCTTAGGTACACATAATACCTCCTTCCAGGAAGAGAAGGAATCGGGGAAAGAGTCAGAACATGGGTGCCGGGGGGGAGGGGGGGGGAGCGCTATTTCCTTGTTCTCAGGATTCTTTGAGGAGTCTCCCAACCTTTCTCCATGTCCTATAAAATAGAGATTCATTTCTCTAATCATCAGGAGGGCAAGACTAGAACAAATATGTTAGAGATGCATGGCCTGGCCACACTCCTCCTGGGTGTTTTCTTCAAAGTAGCTACATAAAGTTCTGTCCCGAGGCCCTAGTAACCCCCACAGAGAAGCTTGAGTAGGCTCATTGGACAAGTATGTGGGCCCCGTTATGGTTGCTCCAACTCCGCCATCGCCAAAGCTTTCGCTTTGATCCCTATCTGAAACCTGGAACTTCTAGACTGGTTAGGGTTCAGGGGTGAATGGGATTATGCTTTGGGGATCGTGCTGGTTAGTTTTGTCAGCTTGTCACTATCTGGAATCAGCTGGGCAGAACTGCTTAATGAAGGATTATCCAGATCAGGTTGGCCTGTGGGCATATCTGTGGGAGATTGTTTTGATTGCATTCCGTGATATGGGAAGACCCAGCTAAAGGTGAATGGCATTGTTCCCTAGGTTTGGGTCCTGGACTGTATAAAACAGAAGATAAGCTGAGAGTCACTGTGGTCTCTGTCTCTCTCTCTCTCTCTCTCTCTCTCTCTCTCTCTCTCTCTCTCTCTCCTTGACTGTGGGGACAATGTAACCAGCTCTCAGGCTCCTGCTGCTGTGACATCCCCCATGATGACTGTTCCCCCTGGAACCATGAACAGAAATCAATCATTTCTCCCCAAAATTGCTTTTGGTTGGGGTATATTATCATAGCAACTGGACAGAAAGCTAAGGCAGGTACTCTCAGTGATAATGCTAGGGTTTCCACAAGAAGCAACTAGAAGGAGGCCCAGATCAGCAGTGTGAAGACACCAAGTGTACACAGCTAAGTTTGAAGCCACCCTGGTGACCCGGGCCAGCCACGGATACACACTTACAGTTTCATCTTTCCCAGCTTCCAGCAGAGCATCCAGGCAGCTAGCCTCTCCCACAGCCATTAGCTCAAAAGTCATTTTCTTGACCCAGCAGATGGCAGCAGCTATGGAGTGTTCAGTCACAACGATAGCACATTCCTGCCATTTCACTGGCTCTTCAGAAACCCTGAAAGGAACCGTATGTAGTAGTCACCAGACCACGATTAAAGGTACAAGGGTTAACTAGAGCGAGGGGCTGAGGAGATGGCCACTTAGCAAGAGGCCTACTGTGTAAGCATGAGGACCAAAGTTTGGTTCTTCACACCCACATACCAAGGCAGTGCATCACCATACACCGTAATCCCAAAAGTGGGGAGGCGGAGACAGGAGGATCCCTGGACCTGCTATCTAGCCAATCAGTGAGCTCCAGGTTCCATGGAAGACTGTCTCAACAAGGAAAAAAAAAATAAAGTGAAGAGCTGTTGTGGAATATTAGTTGAAGACATGTTACATTTGTTTATGCTGTGGAATATTTGTTTAATGATGCAAAGATGTGTTGCATTCTTTCATGTTGAATTTGTTTAACTCTG